GCGGCAGGGGGGCCGGGGCCCCCGGGGGTGGGGGGGGGCCCTGAACCGGGTATCAGGGATTCGCCCCCTCCGGAGCACAGAGCTGCTCGTGGCTGGGCGGGGGGGCCCAGCTCGGGTGTCTCAGGGAATGGGGGGGCCGGGGTGGGGTCCCCGAGCCTCTGGGGTGCGGTGCGGGGGCCTCAAACACTGCTTCTTTTCATCTCGCTCCCCGCAGCCCCGAGGCAGTGCCAGCCAGCAGCGTGTCTGCACCATTAGCAAGTGTGTGTTCGCTTCTATTGTATAAACATTTCGTGTAATTGCTTTAACAACTCCACTGTCACGCTGCACATGCGGCGGCGTCTTTAAAAACTTGTTTATCAGAAGCTTTCAAACTAGTCATTTACACTTTCATCTGAATGTGACTGCCCATCAAGCTCCTGGAAAATACCAGTTCCTCTTCAGGGACAGGAAAAACATGGAACTGATTCAGAGTTACAGACATAGAGGCATTGTTGCATTGGTGTAGCTGTAACCGTGGCTTAGGAAAGGAAATAGCCTCCTTCAGAGGAAAAAGGAACAATAAAGACAGGCTGGGAGAGCTGGGGTGTTCAGCTTGGAGAAGAGAAGGCTCCAGGGAGACCTTAGAGCAGCTTCCAGTGCCTGAAAGGGCTCCAGGAAAGCTGGGGAGGGGCTTGGGACAGGGACTTTTGGTGAGAAGACCAGGGGGATGGGGAGATTTACGTGAGACATTAGAAAGAAATTCTTTGCTGTGAGGCTGGTGAGACCCTGGCCCAGGTTGCCCAGGGAAGCTGTGGCTGCCCCATCCCTGGCAGTGTTGAAGGGCAGGTTGGATGGGGCTTGGAGCAGCCTGGGCTGCTGGGAGGTATCCCTGCCCATGCAGGGAGAGGGACTAAATTATCATTAAGGTCCCTTCCAACCCAAACCATTCAGTGATTCTTCACAATTCCTTTTAAAAAGTAGAAGGGTTCTGAGCCAGGTGCTTGCAAAGCATCTTGAAGCTTGTACTTGACAGAGCCCCCTGCCCAGGGGTCAGTGCTGCTGTGCAGCCCCTCCAGCCTCAGCTGCTCCTGGGCTGAAGCTCCTTTGCTGGCCTTGCTGGTCAGCTTGGGCTGTGCTCTGTGTGAGCCCAAGCACAGGGCAACTCTGATGGTTTCATAATCATCACAGTGTGAGTCAGTGCCTGGAGGAGCTGCCACAGTCTAGAAGCTTATCTCTTGTTCCTGAAGTGGCACATGCCAGAGATAACTTACCCTGGTGTGTTAGCTTGCATGGCTGTGCATATGCTTAAACTGGTCTTGATAGTTATTTTCAGTTAAATACTGGGAAATCAGTTTCAAAAGGAGTGTTTTATTTCTTTCAGGATAGGTATGCTGAGGAGACTCCTTAGTGGTCCATGGCACAGCTGAAAGGAAGTTTACCTTTGGGCAAGCAGTACATAATTATCTTAGTTTATGCTCTGAACTCTTGTTTGTTGCCCAAAAGTGGTGGTATATCTGGGACTCAGGGAAAATATTTATACTGTCAGACTAAATAATGAGGGCCTTGCGGTTTGTGATCTGTATAATTAGACTACTCAGGATATTTCATTGAATGTAGAGGGATGATACGCCCTGGGTGTTTCTAGATCTTGTTTGTAATTCTGTGAAACTCTTGGTTAAATGGTTTGACATAATGTGTTGGATTCCCAGCTGGCAAGTACAGATCTGCTTGGCAGAGAAGGGCTGTTTGCAGAGGAGAGAACTGGGTAATTGAATAGGGTTGGCCTGAGCTTTTATTAAAAAGTGGGACAAGGGAAGGCACGAGGACGTGTCACTGGAAAGCAGTCCTGGAAAGGTCAGTTCAGGAGCCTATGGTGCTGGAGGGCCAGGAAGGGATTCACATTTGGATAGGGGAGGAGGAGCTTAGGTGTGTGCTTATTAGCTCTTTGATCCAGAGGTGTTTCTTGTTCATGTAAAATTAAAATGAATAGAGCTTAATTTCCATTCTTCACCTCTCTACTACTGAGTGGCCCTAAAAGGCAGTGCTTGGGATGGTACAGAATTAGCATAACAGGGACCTGCTGGGCATGCTCTAATGCATTAAAAAGTTGAAGGGATGAGCTCTGTAAACAGAGCAGTTACAGGTCTTCTGTAGCAGCAGGTTGCACACAGGGAAGCTGAGGCTGGACCACTTGGGTATTTTTACTGTTACCTGTGGATGTGTAAATGATTGTTGTGCTCTTTATTTCTGTAAGTATTTTACCTATATATTTTAGGACAGGGCTTGTTTATGTTATTAAGCTGATTAAAGACTATAGCTATAGAGGCACGTTAAGAGCAACAGGGCTTATTTCTGTGGCACTGAGAAGTACAAGTCACAATGGGACCATTTAGTGCATAGAACAGAAATGATCAGTGCCCAGACTAATAGCTCTGGAGCACCAAGCTGCAGCTGGTGGCTGTCCTTGATTCTAGGGCATGATGCTCAGCAGCTAATGGGGAGATGCAGCTGCACATGCCCATGTCATCTCTTTTAAGAGAAGAGCACAGACTCAGTCACTTTCAAAGTCTGTGCTCAAAAACAACTGTCCTGGTATAACAAGAGCTGGATAATACACTTTGTTCTGGGATCTCAAAGAAAACTTCTCCTTTTTAGTTCTGGTTTTTAATGCTACAAAACTAATATAACTTGATGAGTATGTGGCTAAAAAAGTTGTTGCTGTTTCCCACCAGTACTGATTCAGTCTTAGCACCAAAAAATTAGTCCAAGCAAGGACTGAGATGGCTTTGAAATTAAGTCATGCATCTCCTCAGCAGGCTTTGGGATGTTCCAGGGACCTGCAGCTTGCGCAGGGAAGTGGTGCAGCTCACACTGAAGCACCAACATAAGCATGGTTCTCACCCTATTGGCTGCTTATTTATGCTTTAGAATTAATTTGCTGCTTCTGTTGCACTCCCTTTGTACCGAAGTTGAGCAAGTTGTAAATCCCCTCCTTCTGTGCCATCTCAGCCAGCCAGGCTCCCCTTGGTGGCAGAGCTGTCAGCAGCTGTACCTGCAGCTGAGGGACATGGGCAGGTTCATGTCCTGGGCTGCTCTGTGAAGGTCTGATGACTGATTCAGAAGTGGAGTTTCAGCTGAGCAGGGACCAGCACTGTCCTGGTTTGCGGTCAGGGGATCCGAGTCAATGGAGTGAGGTTTCTAAATTACACTTTTGTGTCAATCACACTTGATCGGCCTTTTTTGAAATTGTGAGAGATCTGAACAGGTTTGCCAAACACTGCACTGTGTATTTTTTCTCTTGAATATGTGTTAATGGTTCTGCAACAGGGAACATAACACGCAGTGTTGACAGATCCACGATGTCCGTTGAATTGGTTTTGCAGCAGCTGCAGTACTGTGGGCAGTTGTGGTCACTTCCACTGAAGGTCCCTTGAGCAGCCCGTGCCAAATGGATCTTCTTGAAAGGGGACATGAAGTAGGTTTCTGATTTCTCTTGCAGTGTGAAGCTCCTGCTCCTCTCTGTAAGCAGAACTTTCTGTTCCCAGCAACTGGAAAACTTCTTTGGCACAAACAAGACAGAACTTGCATTTGTGCATGATTCTCCAAGGCACAGTTATGCAAATGAGTTGTGAAGCAGCAGTGACTTCAGAAAAATTACAGTTTGGTTGAATGTTTTAGTTGGGTAGGCCTCTCTAGTGAAGGTTGAGTTAACCCTTTATCACTTGCCAAGGAAGTGAAGTTTGAGATCTCTGGGTAGCTGCTTCATGCTGTAGCATTTTCTGATTGATCTGATGAATGGCAAAGATGGATGTGACTTGGACTGGGAAAACTAGATTTGATTGTTTCACAAAGCACAGGACTGTCATCTTTGGGTATATTTGCACCAGAGACAAGGTTTTATTCTGTGAAATGATTGCCACTTATTAACAAAATAGAGTCATAAAGAGGCTCATTACTGGGCAGTGTTAAGTATGAATGAAGGTGTAGGGGGAAAAACACTTTTTGTATGTGCAGTTCAGATGATGGATCTTCCTTCTTACACGGGCAGTAAACTTATATTTAATAAATGATGCTGGTATTGAAACAGTTTGAAAGAATAGTAATTAAATGTGTGCTTTTTGTGGCATTGATTTTTTTGTAAAGTGGTTTGGGGCTGTTCCATTAGCAATGCTTAATGGCATCCCCAGGGAACACAGCACTGAAATGTTAACTTCACTACTCAGTTTGTGTAGGTGGCCCAGGTTGGACCACACTCATCTCAGCTCCTCAGTCTTCTGGTTGTGTTTGCAGCTATGTGATCCAGATGTGTAATTTACAGTAGTATGGCTTTTAAATATCCAAGTTTTTTCCTCTCTCTGATTAATTTTGGGTACTTTCTGGTGAATATTGTGCTGTCGTGTTGGCCCCTGCACCATCTGGGTGGGCATCTGTTCTTGACCCCTTGGGAAAGGGTAAAAAATGGTTCTTCTGCAGAGGGTCTTGGAAGCTGAAGAGAAAATGTTCACCTTTTGTATTCTCCCCCTCCCTAGGGGTTGGGAAAGAAGTGGAAGCTGAATTTAAATGGAGATTGTGTCATAGCATAGAATATTGATTTTAACGTACAAAGAAATACTTGGTAAACTATGCTCCATTTTTGCAGGTTTTCAGGATGAATCTGGAAAAACTCAGCAAACCAGAACTACTGACGCTCTTTAGCATTCTTGAGGGAGAATTGGAAGCAAGAGATCTTGTCATAGAAGCCTTAAAGGTATGTTGTAAGTAGCCTGGTAAGAGACAGAAATTACCACAGTGCTGCTGTAGGTTCTGCAGAGTGCTTGCATCCAAGATGAAGTTCAGAGGTGATGAGTTATTACTGGTTCAGAATCCCATCTTAATATCAGCAGTATTAGATAATAAATGCTGTCTGTCATTCTGTGTCTTGGATTTTATTATTGAAAGCTGGCTGAAGAAGCATTTCAACACTGAAGTACAGTGTTGTGCATGTTTTCATCCTTTCTGAGAAAGAACCAAGTATTTCTGCTACCGTGAGAGGCATAGAAGGTCTGTCAGGCTCCTTTTGTGGGTTTTGCTCTTCTTTAGGAGGGAAGACTGCTTAAAGCAGGAACTCTCCTCATCAGGAAGGATCACAGATTAGTCTTTTTGTGGGGATAACATCACATTAAGGAAGTATCTATGTCTCTGGGCTGTACTAAGCCAATATAAGCTGGCACTGCTGCTGGCAGCATGGACCCTTCCAGTGAAGCAGAGAGCAGCTGAAACTAACCCATCACAAAAGTTCATTTCAAGCCATGTCAGTGCAGTTTAAGCTGTGGCTGAAGGGCTGTTAGCTCTGTGCTTTGCTCCCTGGGTTCAGGCTGGGGGTGTGTGGTGTATTTGTGCTGAGCCTGGAAAGTCTTTCACACTTGCATAGTCCCTGTGCAACCCTGCTGCTTTTTGGGGGGTGCTTAGTTGACTTTCAGCAAGGTGGAAAAAAAACAGTGGTATAAATGATGGAAAGGGTCAATTTTTGAAGAAATTTGTTGTGACAGGGTTGAATATTGAAGGCTTTTTCAAGCTGACCTGTCACTGCTCATGATGGTTAAGCTTCCAGCTATTGCAGAAGAGGAATGGCAGCTCTCAGGTCTGATCACTGCAGGGACTTGGTTCTTCAGCAACAGCTTCTGTAGCTTGATTCCAATTTCAAACACCTTTTGGAGGGATGGAGGGAGATCCTCCAAAATGGGATGCTTATGTGTTTATTGTTAGTTGGGTTTGCATTTAGATGGTCTTTCTATTTTAGAGGAACATTGCTACCCTCTCTAAGCTATCGATCAGGTGGGAGGCTTGGTTCCTGCTTGGAACAGTCTGGCAAGGTTCTTCTCTGTCCTGGGATCAGTCTGCTGGTTCTGTGTGGTACCAAAACAAGCATCACTTTGATATTACAGTGTGAAATGCATGTAATGGAGCGTGGAGAAACCACTGGGAAGGAATGCAGCAGCTCTGTTCCAAAGGCTTTTTATCATGTTCATTCCAATAGCATAAAGCAATTATCTTTTCTGTTGAAATTTAACCTGCAGCTCCCTCTTGCATGAAGAGTTTTATATAGATAGAGTAGTAGCCTCTGACATAATTTGTCAAGTACTCATGACTGAGAAGAAATTAAATTAAAATGTAACCTGTACTTGATAATTATGTAGTATAAAATACCAAGCTAATCAAAGGCTAGTTCTTCTTCCTCTTCTGCAAGGGATACACTGCAGTGGTTCATCCTGAGGATGAGGGTGGTGGGAGAGGGGCAGTTCTCAGTGGGGTGTGACAGATCCAAAGCTGAAGTCATTGCAGCCACAGCTCAGGCCCAGCTTCCTGCTGGCAAGAGGCTGCGTAGCCCTTTCCATACATGAAAGGAAAAATAAAAGTCATGTAACTGCTTAATCTGGGGGCTGGACAGAGTTTCCAAAGCAGAAAACTCTTGGCCTTGCTTAGTCTGTTTGTTTGGAATCTACAGTTAGAGACACTGTGGCTGTGCAAAGCTCTTTGTTTACTGATAGTAGCTGTGGTAACAGCTCCACGGTGCTTCACGGCTGGAGTGTTATTGTGTGTGACTGTAGTTACAGCAAAAGCCACCTTGCTAATCTCTTTACTCATGTTTTGATACATTGCTCTGAAGAAAAAGCCTTCCAAGAAGACCAAACTGGATTGCAACTCTAGAGTATTTAGCTTGACCTGTGTGTGCTGGACAGACCGAGCTGTGACTTGCACAGAGAGGGCAAGTTACCCAGGGCTGGAGGAACCTTCTGACCAGGGCTCCATGTTGTCCCTGTGCCTCAGGGAGGGAACAGTGGATTCTGCCACTCTTTGGAGGTGTGATAGTGTTACATGAAGTGCACGTGCATGCTACAAAGAGGCAGAGTGGAGCCTGGACTCTGGTAGCAGGTTGCATGATCTCAAACAATGGTGGTGTTTATCTCTGGCAGTTACATTAGACACAGATGTCAGTGGTTTATCTGCCTATTTACTGCCAATATATTAAGAAAAATGCATTTCCCCCCATGGGCTAATTTGACTTCTAATTCAGATTTAAATGCTTCTGAACTCTGGATGTTTGAGGCAGATCCTTTGGTACATTACAGGAAGGCACAAGCATTTGCAGAGAAAAGTTGTGCCTTAATTTGTGAACTTGTAATTTAGTTACAGTGCAGTCTGCAATCATTGGTACTCCTCCATGCTTAGAGAAAAGCATTTAGCATCTGGCATTTGGCAGAGAGAATCCATGCGTGCAGATTCCATGCAGTTTTTTCCTCTCTCTCTCTCGTGCTATCAGGGCACTTGTTGGCTGGCACTGGCCCTGGTTCTCACTGGGTTGAAATTAGGTCTGTGAGCCTGGCTTTCCAGGGACTGCTTAATTTGCTCCTTCCTTTTCCTCTCCTCCCCAGATCCTTTTCTTCCATGCCAGTGGGCTGTGCCTGGGTGTCTCTTGGCACCCTGGCTCCTGGGGTGCTGGCAGGAAGGGGTTAATTCTGAGGGTTATTTCACTGCTGCTCAGATTTGAGTTATAAAGAGCAGTTGTTGGGTCGCCTCTAAGAGATGCCTCTCCCCTGTAATGACTTGCCCTTGCTGATTTCCCTCTTTCACTCTCTTTCTCTGTGGTTTACATTTCTCCTGTGTATTGTTTCTCATCAAGCAGTGGGTGTTTGGGACCCTGTGTACTTGCAGTGGCCCTGGTCCTGACTCCTGCTGTCCATTTCAAATTGCAATGTTACTTAGATTCAAACAGGAGAAATTAGGGTAAAGGATTAAGTGAACAATTTTGCTGTATTCAAAATACTCTTTTCCAAGGCTTCAGTCTGCTTCCTCTGTTTTAAAACCTCTTTGGGGAAAAAAAAGCTTTCTCTTACTGTAGTTTCCTGTCTACTATATAAATCTCAAATGTTCTCCTCAGAACAGACTTTAAGTCTCACTTCTTATTGTGCTCCTTTTCCTGTAGTTTTAAGGATATCTAGATCATCAAAAAAACCCAGATGCTGTCAGAGTTGTGTAACACTGAGGAGTGGATCCTTGGTCCTTAGTGCCATGTAGAAAGGATTCCATGTGGGAACCACAGGTTAGTCTGCTAAAATAGCACACTGGGGTTGGAAACAGTTCAGTATTTAAATGGGTCCTCATCAGTAGGTTAGAGTCCTTTGTTCCCTGTCCCCTGTTCTTTAAATGAGTATTTTCCATACATTAGAAATTAAGTTCTGTTTACTTTTAGAAAACAGGAAACAGCTTTCTGGCTTACTGTTTTATGTTAATAAGGCCTTAGGCAGTTTACACTGGAATAGAAACTGTCTATTTTATGTTAATCACTGGGTGCTGCTGGTACTCATTGCTTTGCTTCTGAATTCAGTGCTTCACTCTAGAAAGCAATATTAATGCATTGCAAGATTAAGTGTTCATTTGTCAGTGGATTTAGGAATTGAGGTTACAATGTAGTTTCAAAATCTAAAAGTCTACCTCTTGTTTAAATGAAAAAAAAAAAAGCCCAGTAATATAAAACCTTGCTGCAGTTGCTAGTAAATCTTTCACAGATGGAGGAAAATGGGCTTTTGCATCACTCATGGAGCAGCCTGCATCCAGTGCATTCCCGTGGGCGCTGTCCTGCTGGAATGCAGGCTTTTCTTACCCCTTCCCTTGCAATTTGGGGAATTTGTTGTTTGTTTTGTGGCTGAAGCAGCCCTGTTGGCCAGTGTCTTTATAAGACACTGTGCCTTCTCAGTGCTGGGCGAGGAGCAGAGGTGTGGGAACAGCTTCCAGGCTGGAATGGCTCCAGCTCTGGGTTTCAGCCACTCACGTATTGTCGGGTTCCTTGCTTTAGTGGTGGCCAAAGTGCAGTTGGTGGGCACGGGGTGGTCCCTGGGCCACCACCACGAGGGTGCTGGGACCTGTGCTCAGCCAGGCTCTGGCAGGCATTTGGAGTAGTTGCACCATGAACCAAAACTTCCCAGGGACAGAAGTTGCAGTTTTGTGCTGCTTGATGTTTCCCAATAAAATGTCTCTGGTTTCTGGAAGCTGACAGCAGGTCTTACGTGGGCAGGCCTGGGTAGTGCTCGTTGATCTGGTTTGTTCGCTTGATATAATGAGGGCAATTAAGAGAGATGCTGTATTTGAGTGATACAGTTCCTGCTGTGTGGATCTCAGCTAGGGATTGCTTCAGAGCTGGAGCTGAAGTCAGGCTCGGGATCCCACTCCAGCACTCTGACATTTATTTTTGTGCAAAGCAAGTGCTCCCCACCCCCATTTCCCTTCTCTCTGTCAGCGGCTCCTGTGACCTCAGCTTGTCTTTATTCCCAGTATCTGTGTCTGGGGAGAGAAGCTAATAAGGAAGTTCAAGGCAGTAAGAAGCTATTTAAAGATTATACCACTCTCTGCAACACAAAGGAGGAACTTCTGTGCAAATTATTACTGGAGAACTGCATAGGCAGTAGCTACAGTTAATTAGCAGTGTGTTTGTGTTGTGCTGAGGATTAAAACCTAAACTCTAAAATTACAGGCAAGAGTAACATCCTACTTTGTGTCCAAAAGAATACTTGAAACAAGTCTTGGAAACTCCCTGTTTGATGTTCCAGTAAAACAAGTTGTAAAGATTATTGAAGGCAGAGAGAAAATGCTGTCTCATAAACAAGGTTTCAGTAAGAGGAAATCTTTTATAAAAAAAACCCAGAAAATTACACAGACGGATTATGGGAAACATTCAGCCCAAAACAGTGTAGAAATCCCCAGAGGAAACGGCAGCTTTTCCCTAACAAAGTGAAGCCTTGGCTCTGCCTGCCTGCACAGGAAACCTCTCTTCTGTTGTGTCAGATACTGCTTCTGCTCCATGAAATCAGAATTACTTCTTTTCAGACTGACTGGCAGTGATCACTTACCCTGACATGAGCCCCTTTAAGGTGGTACTTTCTCTACATGTGCCTAATTCTTCTGATTGTCAGGAGTTTTATTTAGTTAAGAGTAACTAATGTGCTTAGCTGCTTCCTTTTTTAAGAGCAGCCCAAGCTTAAATATTATCTTTTTTTTTTTCTCCTGTTGGGGAAGGACAATGTAATAGTCTTCAAAAATTGCTGGATAGTCCATTTAGTTGCTTTTGAAGTTTGAATGTTGACCAGTGAATTCATAAGTCTGCATATTTGAGCTGGTACAGGTGGAGGTACTAAATTAAAAGATCTTCTAATTGCAGAAGATTGCATCTTGTTTCAAAGCACAGTTGATGCTGTTGGAAGTATCTGTGTCATCCCTGGTTTTCCAGGTTAAATTTCCCACTCCTAAGTTAACAGTGCTTTTTGTAACCTTATTTCTTTTTCATTGAACCTCAGTTTCCTGCGGATTTGTGTGTTTCAAGAGGCTGATGCTGGGATCTGACATCTAACTTGATTTTTCCACTTTGCTTGCTAACAGATTATTTCTCTTCCATCATGCAAGTTGCTTCTGTTTTGAAAGTTGAACAAAAACTCTGTTTAAGGCTTAATTCCAGTTCAGACAGAAGAAAATCAAAACTGTTGGAGATACTTCACTGGAGATGACCTCCAGTGACAGCAGGAGTTGAGCTGAACAGTTGCCCCAGTGAGGAGCACACGCCATGGGAGGTGTGACCCCTGTATGTGACAGTTCCACACCTGCAAGAAATTACCTGTGTCCATCGTGGCACTGTGGCCATTTTAGCAGCACTGTCCCATGAGTCCAGGGACAGAGGTGGCTGCTCAGGGGACCCGTAGCACAAGGCTGTTGGGCAGTAGCCTGAAAATCTGCATTTGCATTTCCAAATGGATGGTGGCCCAAATGCCAAAGCCCTGGATTTGTTTTTGTAAACAAGATGTGGTCAGTGTAGGATGACCTGTTTAAGACTTCTCAGAGTCTAGACAACTTTAATTAAATGTTTATGCTCTGCTGGCTACTGAAGGAGAATAGCTGGACTTCAGAAAGCTATTAATGTTGTGACAGTCTCATCTGGTTCAGGAAAGTACTTAATTGCTCAAGTAGTGAGGAAGAACTCCTTTCCCAGGCAGGAAATAAGCCACCCCACTGCATTCAGCAGAGCCCAGAGCTGCGAGGAGCCAAGGGAAAAGATGGCTTTTCTGACACCATCACTCACAAGAAACCAGAGGTTGTTGAGAGTGAGTGTCACCTTAATCCCAGTTATTTCAGCTTTTATTAGAGGGAAATTGGCCAGAGGTAAGCATTTCAAGTGTGCCCTGTTTGCTCACACAGTTGCTGCTCTGGTGCCCTTCCCAAGGGCTTCTCCCTTCTTTCTGTGGAATGGAGTGACCAGCACTGGGCTGGGTTGGCTTTCAGGCACCAGCAGCTCATCTGTCAAAGCAGTCAGGCCATGGATGAATTTACAGGCCATTTGCATTTACAGACTTTTTAATGCTTGAGTCACTTAGAAACTCCCTAATCACTTGTAGTGAGGTTTGGTTGAGTCATTTTTATAAATTCTTCAGAATAACTGAAGATTCCCTGACCCCCAGACAAAAAAAAAGTCTCTGGTTTTTCCTGTGATTCATTAAACAGGGACAGCTCATTATCCTGGGCCACCCTCCCATTTCCAGGGCTGATCTTTTCCTTCCTCTTCTGTTTTATTTATATAAAGTTAGAACAATATCTTCAGTTCTGATCAAAGTACCGACTGTTCCCAGTGGGTGTTACTGATAATGAGGGAGGGGTATTTGTGAGTGCCAGCTATTCATCTGTAAGGGTTAAAATACAACTCCAGAGCAGTATCACAGAACAAGTGTCTCTAATTGAGTTTGGTCATTGGGGAGATAAAAGTATTTTGCTTTGATTTTTTTAATGCCTCTTGTCAAGGAGATGCTTCTGCCTTTGAGAGCAGAGATTGACTTTCATTTTTTTCTGCTAATCACATTTAGAATATACACAGGACCAGAAAATCTTGTCAGCTATTTGAGTAAAGCAAAGCTTTATTGTTCATGTGTCAGTCCTCTGACCTGTAAAGCTCAGTGCCAGCAGTTTGTTTTTGTGCACTCACTGGTGTCTGGGGTGGTGTCCAGAGCACTGCTGGGGCTCTCCTGTGCTCGAGGGAAGTGTTTGCATGTTTGATGCTGGTTTCTGGGGCATCAGAAAACGCCCCTTTCAATAACTACTGGCTTCCAAGTCAGACTCAGCCTTTCCCATCAAACAGGTGCCAGCAGCAGCAGGGGCTGCTCAGGGGGCTGCAGCCGTGGTGAGGCTGGGCAGCTCTGCTCCCTGGCAGTGGCCCATGGCTCACTGTCCCACCTTCTGCAGCATCATCTGAGCTGGGGCTCAGTGCAGCTGGTGTCAGGAGCCCTTTGCCAGCTCTGAGAAGATGTTGAGCTGTGTTTGGTATGGCTTACACTGTCTGCTGGAGTGAGGAGTGAGTGAGCAGTGCACCCTGAAGCCAAAGTGACCAGAGAACAGAGCAGTGCTGGCTCTGGAGACAAACACCTCGAGCATGCACTCTGCCAGAAGTGCAGCCTGACTTCCCTCTGGAGGTCACACAGTGCTTTGCTGGTTGAACACGCTATCGTGTGCTTTGAAATAAACTACTCCAAAGGTGATAGCACACCTTGGCTAAAGGTAGGGGGCTTGTGCAGCTCAGAGAAAGGTGTTGGAGGTGCCTGGCACAGAGGAGCCTGCGCTGCCCTCGGTGGCCTCACTGACAATGTGCCCACAAAGAATAGCACATGATTATTGATGTGCTCCAGAAAAGTCAAGGTATGACTTCATAAGGACTAGTTATTGTGGCTGTACTGAACCCAGAACCTCACTCTTTAGGAGCTATTGTATCTCAGTTGGGGATCGTGCTGCCTGTGGCAGATGCTGGAAGCACAGGGTAGTCACATTCAGCCCGTAACCCTTTTGGTTGAAATTGGTGATGAAATGTTGTGGAGCCAAGATAGGTCAGCTCTGAGGGCCTTTCTGAATCTAGGTCTGTTTTCCCTTTTACATCTTTTGTTGCACAGACATCTGTTTTCATGTGGTTTCTTATCATGGTGGTAAGTATATTTTATGTCTGTGTTTATGGAATTTTGTTTTATTTTTTAGAACTCCACAGTAGTCATTCAGTAGGAAGAGGCTGTCAGTGTCCTAACAAACAGATTTCCAGCTGGAATGGCTGATTGTAAATGTTGTAATTGTGAAGCTTAGTACGTGTGAGCTTCCTTCCTTACATGTCACTGAAAGAAAACTAATCATTCCTGTCTTGCTTCTTGTGAAACTCAACTTTGTTTAGTCTAGATGAGAATATTAAGGTTTTTATTAACAATTTACGGATTTATAGGCTATTCCAAGGATACAACTCATTAATTGCTCAACATTACATTCTTTGATGGTGACATAATGAGGACAACCACACAACTGCTCTTCTGCCAAAACAACAGTAAATGATTAAATCTTTTGTTGAACAAGGACTGGTATTTGCCTATTTCTAAGTCTTGGGCACAGCTAGCAGGGAGCTGTGGTATGAGGATGTTAGAGCGAACATGCTGTGGGGATGCTGTGTTTTTAAGGAAGACTTGCCTTTGTTTGGGGCCACTTGGTTAAAAGATCTTGTTCAACTGGAGGGACAGAGAAATGAACCGAGCACATGCTTCACACAACACACAGACTTTTCAGACTGATCAGTTTGTATTTGCTTGTTTTCCAGCTGTGTGTTATGCAAGTGTGCTTTGCAAATTGCTTCAGGACTCAAGTTACCTGGAGAGCAGGTGCTGTCTTGGGCCCCTCTGTTAACCAGGGACCTTTAACATGATGTACTTGTGTTTTTTCCCTATCTGAATACTCATATTCTTATAGCAGATAACAGGATATGAACCAGACTGTTAAGATCTCTAAGTGGCAGACTGGGAAAGAGGAATATTAACTGCAAATTACTTTCTCCTTTAGCTGGTTTTCTATTTTAAGAATCTTGAAATGCAAATTTGTTTCTGTGTTGTAGGCCCAGCACAGAGACACGTTCATTGAAGAACGCTATGGGAAGTACAACATCAGTGATCCATTAATGGCTTTGCAGAGGGATTTTGAGACCCTGAAAGAGGGAAATCATGGTGAAAAGCAACCAGTGTGCTCCAATCCATTATCAATTTTGAAGGTGGTGATGAAACACTGCAAGAATATGCAGGAAAGAATGTTATCCCAGCTAGCTGCTGCAGAAAGCAGGCACAGAAAGGTAAGTTTTGTTTCAAATAAGCTGTGCAGAAGTTAATAGTTGCATTTTGATAGTATGTTAACTTCAGAAAAAAATGCAAGTCAAAATGACTCAAGCATTTGTCCCTGCTGGATTCTGTGACTGGGAGAAGCTCTCTGGAGCATCCCTGCAATCACCTGCATTACAGCACTGTATCTTTACCTTTTCACATACTTATTTTTCACCTTAAAAATAGCTGGGATTTTTGTTTTGACGGGAGTCAGTGGCAGACTGAGGTGGTTGCCCTGGTCTCTGCCAGCTCTCGTGGGCAGTGCCAGCTCTAGGTGAGCTTTTGGCTAGTGCCTGGGCCAGTACCACTCTGTGTTTTTTCAGGTCTGTCACTCTTGCTTTGATTCAAACTTACTAAATCATGTACGAAGTTCTCAAATAGAAGTAGTCACTTTTTGTTTCTAGTGAAAAGGTTCAAAGTTGAAACCTCTGTTTCATTGCTCATCAGCATGTGGGTTAAAGTTTATTTTCCCAGAATCTGTTTTGATGGGGATAAGACAGAGCAAGTTCCTTTCAGTCTGTGAATAAGCTGAAGCATTTCTGTGTCAGCAAACTTACCTTAAGCAACCAGCCAGCTTGACTTGTACATCACAGATGCTGTGCTTGGGGTGGGCAGCTGGAGATACCTTCAGCTTTTGGTTTATCTGTCAGTCACAGGCAGTAGCAGCAAGGCTGTGCTTCACTTTTCAGCCAAGTATCTAGCTAAATCATGCTGTTAAAATCAGATACTTTGTCCCCTTCTCGTGCAAAAAGATTCCTTGTGCATGTAAAGATATTTAAGCATTGTTTGGATGCTAAATTCATGGTGAGCAGGTGTTGGGAGAGCCTAGAGTTTTGCTGGTGAGATAAATCGGAGTCTCTGGGGAAGTTTGTATTCTGTTGGGCTTTTTTTTGTCGAGTTAATAGAATTTCAATCATTCATGTAATTCAGTGTTAAAGCTGAAGGAGCTCCTTGACTGGGTCCTTATGGCAAGCAGTTTCATTTCAAGAGCTCATCTTATTCTTAAGTGGAAGAACAAATTAATGTTCTTTAAAATAAACTGTGCACTGCAGTGCTCAAATCCCCTGTAAGAAACTGGGGGAGAAGCCTGCATGTGAAGTGCTGCTGAAAGCGGGTGAGGATTGTCCTGCTGCAGGTGTTGGTGTCCCTGTCACCTGGATGCAGGGTCTCTAGGCTGCTGCTGGGGGTTATATTAATGGTCCTGTCAGGAAACTCTGAGGGGGCACTGAGCAGCCAAGGATGGATAACACAATCTTCCCAAGGCTGTTCTGCTGTTTGGAGGGAAAACATGCAATTTAGCTGTTTCATGATCAGATGAAGATGTGGGGTTTTCCTGATTTTTCTATTTTTTTGCAAACTGATTCAACTATACCAAATAATAACAGTGTTGTAATTTGTCCAAAAGCTGCTTTTATGAGATGTTTTTGGGTTGAATTCGGATGCCCCAGCCCGCAGGGGCTGCTCCTCTGTGTTGCTGGGCCTTGGGGTGTGTGTGTGAAGGTGCTGATGTGTGTGCCAGAGCATCAAAGCAGCTGTGGTTTGTGTGGCAGGTGATTCTGGACCTGGAGGAGGAGAGGCAGCGGCACGCCCAGGACACGGCCGAGGGGGACGATGTCACCTACATGCTGGAGAAGGAGCGGGAGCGGCTCAGCCAGCAGGTACCTGGGGAGCTGGGAATGGCTCATGGGATCCCAGCTCTTGCCTGGGGAGCTTAGGGGTGATGTCTAATTGCACCTTCGTGTTGAAAGAGCGGGAGGGGCCTCCCTCCTGTAAGGCACTCCCAGCTTTTATCAGCTTGGTATGAAAAACAGCCTTAATTTTTCGAGGTGTTTTGGTAGCTGAGCAGTGCTAACAGCTGTTAATAGGCAATCAAACACTGTGAAATCCTCTTGCAGCCTGAAGTCTGAGAAGTTCTCAAGGACAAGGCTGCACTTATAAATGATAGGGCTCTCTGGTACTCAAAATTCAGGGTAAGTCATGAAAGATCTCCTGGGGGCTTAGTCAGAGAAGATAATAAACGTTTAAGCTACTGTTTTCTGTCACTCAAGTGCTGTAGACTTTATTAAACATACATAACACATCAGCATTTTAAAGCCTTTAAAAGGCAAACTGACAAGGTGGTCAGTGAGGTGGAAGGAAGCTTTGCTCCTGTTCAGTCAGTGCAAAGCAGACTGGGTCTGTATCTCACTAAAGTTCAGCTGAATTTCATATATGATACAACTACTAGGTAATAATTCTTAATAGGTGCAACCTGAATCAGACAAGGCTGTGTTGTAGATACTGGGGCAAGAATCTCTTTTGTAGTCATTGTCATATTTTACTGGAGAATTTCTCCAAGATAACTTCATTTACCTTGAGGAGGTACTGAAGTCTTACAGTCTTTTTTGCCCTTATCTTCCAGTTGGAGTTTGAAAAATCCCAAGTGAAAAAGTTTGAAAAAGAGCAGAAGAAGCTGTCAAGCCAGTTGGAGGAGGAAAGGGCACGCCACAAGCAGCTGTCTTCCATGCTTGTGGTGGAGTGCAAGAAAGCCACTGCCAAAGCAGCTGAGGAGGGGCAGAAGACAGCAGAATTGAGCTTGAAATTGGAAAAAGAGAAGAGTAAGGTGAGTAAACTGGAAGAGGAGCTGGCGTCCAAGAGGAAGAGGGGTTTACAGATGGAAGCACAAGTAGAAAAGCAGCTCTCAGAGTTTGACATTGAAAGAGAACAGCTGAAAGCCAAGCTGAACAGGGAAGAAAATCGTACAAAAGCACTCAAAGAAGAGGTGGAATGTCTGAAGAAAGCCCTGAAAGAGCTGGAGACTTCTTGCCAGGAGCAGGCTCCTACCGAGCCTTTGCAGCCGAGCCCCTCAGTGGTGTCCAGAGGTGTTGCAACCGACGGTCCCCCGGTGAAGTCTGTGTCTTGCCAGACAGAGGGTCTGCAGGCAGACCAGGCAGGCCCTGCCAGCACAGGCAAGGCTGTGCACGCCACGTTTCCCAGCCCCACTACACCTACTCATTCCTATGCAAAATCTAATGGCCATTGTGACACAGACGTGCAGGGGGGTGAGCTGCTGCAGGCAACTGCACCAGAGAACCAGGCTCAAAAGGAGAAATCTGCTGGTGCAGCCTCAGAAAATGCAGTTGAGAATGGGAGTTCTCCTGTAAGAACAGAGTCACCAGTGCATCTGATGTCCCAGCTCACTTCCAGTGGGGTCTCCCTGTCTCCCAGCAGCACAACTGCCTCCTCTCTGACACCTTCTCCCTGCTCCTCACCAGTTCTGAACAGACGCTTGGTGGGAGCATCAGCGAGCAGCCCTGGGTACCAGTCCTCCTACCAGGTGGGCATCAACCAGCGCTTCCACGCCGCTCGGCACAAGTTTCAGTCTCAAGCTGAACAGGACCACCAGTCCAGTGGCCTGCAGAGCCCACCCTCACGGGATTTGTCTCCTACTCTAGCAGACAACTCTGCTGCCAAGCAGCTGGCCCGTAACACCGTCACTCAGGTCCTGTCCAGGTTCACCAGCCAGCAGGGACCTATTAAACCCGTCTCCCCTAACAGCTCACCTTTTGGCACAGACTATCGAAATCTGGCTGTGAGCCCCAAAAATGAATCTGGTCACTCTCCAAGCTCTGGCAAGGTTTCCAGTCCCATAAGCCCATTGTCTCCTGGAATTAAGTCACCAACTATTCCTCGAGCAGAACGAGGGAACCCTCCACCCATTCCTCCAAAGAAACCTGGCCTTGCTCAGTCACCTGCTGCTCCTGCTCCACTAACCAAAACTTCCTCTCCAGCACCCTCTCTAGGTGCCTCCATGGACGTGGCAAGTAGCTGCTCCAACAATACCGTGGTGTCAAATGGCAAAGACATTGAGATCCTCCTGCCAACCAGCAGCTAGTCTCCAGAAAATGTGAATGTGACATTCCACAGCTTAGCATCCTAGAGCTAAGACACTGTTTTTCCACTCCATGTTATTTATTTCCATAGTAGCAGATTCTGTCTGTATAAAGCATTTAGTATTTTTTTTTCTTTTTTGATAGGTAGGAAAATATTTTTGTTTATGGGGAAACCTTAACTACAGCTATACAGTAGCCTCAAAATGTCTCGTTGGCAACAGTCAAATCATTAGAGGTAGCAAGAACCATCATGGTGTGGTGGGACCTGATTGTCAAACTGTAATGGGACTCAAATGCTACTTTTAAATGATGCAGACTTTTGCAGAGTTTTTACTCCAGATGAACATTTTATAAAAAGTGCCTGAACTAAGCCTGCAATATGAATGTGATTCTCTGGAAAAGGTGATGAGGGGGACCATCTTGCTGCAGAAACACTCCTCTGTGAGTCATGAATGTTGAAACTAACACTGTTTTTAATTCTTTCCATTTGCTGCACTAAGTGAGCAAATGTGCTACAAATTCTGTAAGGTGACCACCAGACTGATGCAGCCAGCCACACTTTGTCCCTTAGGACATGGCTTCTTGCTGTTTGAGGAAGCACACCTAAGTTTCTTGGGTTAAAATTTAGCCATAAGAAGTCCAGATTACTTTTCTTTCAGTATTTATAGTCCATGTAGATCTCTTTGCTTTCATGTAGCACATCCTGCAGAGATGTCCATGTGCTTTAAATGGCTAAACTCTGGTTTCTGGTGTGTCACCTTGACTTTTCAAGCCCTTCAAGCATTCTACTGTTGTGTGTAGAACTTCTGAAAAAAGGATCTTGCTGTTACTTGACAAAGATCTCCCTATTACTTGAAAAAAATCACTAGTCCACATGATACAGGTTTTTTGCAACAGTAACATGGGATCTTCTACTATAAACAGAAGCAATAATTTTGTTCCTCATCTGTGTGGGTTGTGTCTGACTGATCTGGATTTTACTCACAATTAGCTATGGGATCTTGCTGGCTTTCCTTGGCTGCAAATAGGGAACCAAATCATGGTTGTCATGTGTAATTGTGTATATATGTGTGAGTAGTTTCACACATATACATCCTAAATACAAAACTTATTAGGAAAATCTGTATCTATTCTTGATGTTCTGCCTATTATGAAGAAAATGTCAGAGTTCATTGAGATTAGAAGAAAACATTTATGAGGAATTGCCTAAGTTTAAGGCAAATCATGTGTGTGAAACAGTATTTGGGGCCAAGTGGGGAGAAGCAGCTGGTTGCTGACAGGTTTGCAGGGAGAGGTGTTGTCCTGGCTGCGGATGTGCTGCTGTTGCTCAGCCCACACCACGGCTGAGTCCCTGTGGGGAGAAAGGCAGCAGAGACACCACAGGTCAGGGGTAGAGGCTGAGAGCATAACCCTGAGGTAATTATCTCAGGTGCTCTCTGTGAGCCAATCCTCATTTTGGGAACTGGACTTGCTGCTCAGTGCCAGTCAATGTTCAGCATTTCCTTCTGCAGCAGCATCACATTTATGCCAAGCACAGCTTCCCACTGCCAGAGACTTTCTCTTTTGTAATTTTTCAATGTTTAATTAGACAATATACATCCACCTTCCCTGTAGGAAGGATCCCTGCTGAGCTGGGAGGATGCAGCTGCTGTACCTGAGCTGGGAGGTTCCCCTGGCTGTGAGCCTGGTGTTGTAGGACACCAGAGCCCTTGTGCTGCTTTGACGTGGCGGTGCCTGACGTGACCCTGCTGGTCCCTCCTGCACAGCCCTGGCAGGTATTGAGCCCACATCAAGGGTCTTTACAGACCGTTTAGTAGCTTTTTAACTGGTGGTATGATGGGCTGCTGCTCCTAACCCAGTGGAGCAGGCTGTGTACTAACAGCAGGGACACAGAGGCAGCCTAGAGATAGCTGGGCAGTGACTCCTTTGGAAGCACATTTACTAATGTTTTAACTTTTAAGTATCCACAGCAGATTTTTCCTCTTGATGAGAGTAATTGTAATAACTGATGGGCAGATGGATTTTGGCCCATGTATCACTTCTGATTCAAAAGTGAGGCTTTTGTATACACTGCTTTAACGTGTTTCTTTGCTTTTACATTAATCTAAATGGTATTATCCCCTTTATCAATAGTGAGAGAGAGAGAGATACTATGATGAAGTCTATTAGGAAATGCACTGAGTACTGTTTCTTCTAAAATATAATATGGGAAGGGGTATGCAAAAGAATGTATTTTTGCTAGTAGCCTATCTTCTGAGAGAGACTAAGCACAAGATATTAAAAAGGATCCAACTAATTCAGTAAGATGTTTAGAGTTAGTATTTAACTGTTGATGTAGAGTCTGTGTGGAAGCAACTAAATATTTCTTCTATAACTCACATCTGTTATAAGCAGCCGTTGTTGCAGAGTTTGTCACTGGCTAATGGAGTATAATGAAGTGCAAAATGTATATGCTAGTATTAATTCCTTAACACTTGTATATTTGGCTTTACAAATTTACCAAGCTGAAGTCTTTAATCATTTTTATAGCTGATGGCATTAAACATGTTAAACGTTCATATTATCAATAAAGGATTTTATTTTTAAGATGTGCAAATGGCTTAAGAAGGTGTTTGGAGTTGGGACTGTGTGTGGAGGGAGGCAGCCACACAGGAGCCAGGCAGGTGGTGGGAGCTGGGTCTGTGTTCCTGGGGAGGCTGAAGCTTTGGTGTATGCTCTGAAATGTCAGAAGAAAGCAGATTTATTTTGAGTCCAGCAGCTAATGAGCAGCTGTGTCTGGGCTGAATTGCCCATCCATCCCCATCTGACACCGTTGGGGTGTTCTGGTGGCAGCTCCAGGCTCTGGCCCCACTCCCACAGCTGGGGCTTTGGGTAAAACAGTAAAAACGCTGGTCCTGGAGGACCTCTTAACTGCACTGTGACAGCATTACACTAATCATTATTTGGGAGTATTATACTAACAAACACTTGGGGTTTTGGGGGGAAGCAGGTGTGCCAGTGCCCTGCTGATTTTTTCTTCCAGCAGGTTACAGAATTTCGCATGGGAATTCCTTGAAGGGTCAGCACTTCTCTGCCTTAGAGGAGCACGGCTCAGGTATGGCACAGGACACTGAGTGTCCCATCCCAGTAAAGGCACTGGCTACAGAAAGGTCCCCTTTGCAGGGAACACACCCTTTCCTCCCTGGGTAGCAGGGGCTGCTGCAGGTGCTGTTTGTCTCCTTATGTCACACCTCAAGTGTGACCTGCTTTTCTTATCTTTACATCGGTTCGGTTGAACAGGTTTTGCAGCAACCTGGGGAGAAGCTCTTTGTTCATCTCTTCGTTCCGGAGGAGCCCCCGCCCGGTCCCCGCCCGGTTCCCAGCGCCGTGTCCCGCC